TAATAATCAGAAGATTTGTTATAAGTCAAAAATGTGATTATTAGTGCATTAATCACTTTATGACAAGAATTGATCTAGGGGCAAATAACCCACTAAAAGAATATAACCAATTGTTTACATGGAAACATTTGTATGGTAAAATGAAAGACGATATAAAGATAAATGACTTATATCAGAGAGAGAAAGAAAGAGAGAGAGGTGGGGGGGGGGGGGTAAAGAGATCATGTGAATGGGAAAGGGGGGTGGCTGAATAAGGAATTAAGCTATTCTTCAATTTTATAGTACTTATCATATCTTGATGAATTCATTTTAATTTTTTGAATGAAGAAATATCTAAATTTAAAGGAGTGTAATATGAGTACCGGTATAATTCATCTCAAAAGATAATAACTGTACTTATATTGGCAGGATGAAAGGCTATACATATAATGATCTATTATCATTGTTATTAATACCCTCTTGCTATATGTACAATGACAGTCAACAGCTAAATTCTTCATACCCTTGCCAAGTTTTGTAATTGTTTTTAAGTATGTGAAAAATTGACTTGTTCCTATTAACGTTTCTTGAGAATGCAACGTAGCAGGGCATACATCTAGAAATATTCTATATTCAACAAAGTCTTTGATTCAACCAGTCCACCTTTCATTCTTGAGTTATGAAAGAACACCAACAAAACTTCAAATTTACAAGGGGTAGGAATAATTTACGGTAGTTGTTAACTTTAGTTTTTAAGATTACTACAGTCAACTTTTGTCACAAGTACAATGCAAATTTAACGCAGTACTCTAAAATATGTTGTGGTGTAATGCATTAATCTGTAGATAAGAAAGAGTTGGTGAATCTTGAGAACAGGGAACACATTTTTTCTTCAGACCCTGTGAACAATGCTTCCTTAAAACAACTAACTGAAGGAAGAACACATTTTGGAATATTGAGTTTTTCCCGACCGGCCTTTTATTTGAACAATGCATGCATTTATTTCATTTCTTATAGCTTTGTGCCCCTGAGCTATTCAATATTTTAAATCTCTCATGTGACTCATTTAATATTTGTTCTTTCAAACTTCATTGAAAGAACTTCATGACATTATAAAACAGTAAGGCGGCTGTTTTCTTAAATTCAGTTCCATTGAGCGTCCATTAATCTTCTCCCATGATTCACTCTGTATTTTCTATTACACATCATGGTGACATCATCCGAAGATGACATTATTCCATAAGCTGATAAAATAAACATTTGGCAAGTCTATGTTTCATTCAAGATGAATTCTTTTGTGAGTCACTGAGGTACAACGGAAAAAATACATTTGACCAGGTCAAAATGTCGATTTTGCCAAATTCAATTATCATTTTTCAAGTTCACATGCGACGGGTGAATTGTAGATTTGTCATGATACGTCATCTGATTGAGATGAGGTGACCTGGAGTTTGATGAGGCATGCCTATGTTTTGAGGGGGATTGACATAAAGCTATAGGGATATACAGGTGGACACTCAATGCTCCCTGTAACCACCTCCCCTCCCCCCACCCCCACCCCAGGAGAATAGCTTAAAAGATGTTTTGGTAAAGAGAAAAAGGAGAGAATGAAAAGGAAAGGGATAGGGTAAAAAGAAGGTAAGGTCTATACCCCTTTCCACCCCTCACTCAATGGCCTTCTCTCACACCCCATCATTCTTATAATTCAATTTCATTTATTGTTCAACCATCAAAATATATATACAATCAAAATAAGTTACATCAAGAATTTAGAATAATGCATGGTGGTTTGGTGACCCCGGAGAAAGCAGGGCTTATAAAAGGGGCCACCAATACATAAAAAGATCAACATTAATTATACCAAAAAATATCAACATCGAACATTAATATAAACAAGGAAAAAAAAGAGAAGTACACTTCTGCAGCAGCAGCAAAAATATAAGCTTGTATGTCCAGTGTTCCCGGGCCACCTATTCCCAATCCCCATGATACCATATCAGTGAGTGCCCCCCCCCCCCCTATCAGTTGATCGACCCAGGATATGCCACTGAGGTGGTGTATCATCCTGTAGTAGTGGAAAGCCAACTCAATGAACATATCAGGTCATATAGTTTCTGCATTGCAACTTTTTTTTCTCCAAAGAAAGCAATACCTGTAGTTTATTAGTTTAATATATGAATATATCTGGATATTTCCTCTGCTTGGGCACAGGAAATATCATCCTCCCCTGTCAAGATGGCCCATACACATGACAGAAGTGGCTTTTTAGTTCGGTATATGCTGAAAAGTTACTGGAAAATGAGAGAGATGGAGTATTCTTGTATTCAAGATTTAAACTTCTGCATACTCAGTTCATTTTATTTATTTTTTCTCCAGAATAAAGACGAACATACAACTTTATTCTATCCTTGTGAACTTCTAAAAAATGGCTAAATATTTATTTTTAAACTTTACCACTGGTCTTTTTTGTTGGTGTGTAAATGAAACGATAATTGTCTCACTTGTTGTCATAGTGTCATAATCCTTTCGTAAAATGAACAATTTCCCACAAATTTGACATAACTGGACAAGCCCAGTACCCATGGTTGTAAAGGATCAATATGCGGTTTCCTATCCTTTTTTTTCTGACTCAGTCATTTAGCTTAGTCCAACGTACAAACATGAACTTGCCTACCTTCAAAAACCACAAATCTAAATTGCATAAGTGAGTTTAAATCTCTTTTGAAAACACATCGCATTTAAGGGATTAAGGAGTGACAACATTTTGCCAGCTGAACAAGCATGCAAGCTACATACAGGACATGCATGACATGAAAAAAAGACAGGAATTGAAGATGAAAAGTGATTAAGCTTATGAAGGACATTAAGCAACGTTTTTTCATATCTTTGGTTTGATCGGCGTGGTGATAAGAAATAGGATCTATTTGGAGATGAATCAGATGATTTGTCATGTCACTGGTTCCTTTGTTGCCATGGCGTCAGAGAAATTGATGTTGATAGAATGATGTTGTAGAATTTCTCACAAAGAGAATTGACGTCACAGAAGTTGGTAGATCACTGGACAAGGTTTAGTGATTGCATGCAAGTCATGCTTAAAGCGAATTGTAATGAATGCGGCAGATTATGAAATCTCAAAATATTCACTCAAAAGCAAGCTTTAAAATGACTCTAGAGCCGAGAGGACAATATTAATGTTTTGTTTAATCTTGATTTTAGACCATCTTGATTGTTTTAAAACTTTAAATCGATTTAAATCACTGATTTTCTCAATTTACACTGTAAATCAACGTTGATTGGGAAAATCATGTAAGCCAGAGCCTCAACTAATTAAAACACAAATTCCTTGCTCCTAAGTTCTTTGTATTTGGAGTGAAGTGTTTTGAGTATGAAGATCAGTCAGTACCAAACTTTCTAGCTCCCCCCCCCCCCCTGTATTGTCATTAGGTTGTTTACAGTATACAGTAAGTGCCACCATCAAGGGTACATAACTTTTATTTTCTTGTTCCTAGTCGTTGTCCAAAACTTCTAGAGGAACTTTTAGAATTACAAAGATATTGATTCATGTATTAATCATATACAGTTAACAACTAGATCATTCATACCCTTACCAAGTTTTGTAATGTTTTAAAGTATGTAAAAATAGATTTGTCCCAATTTATGTTACTTTAGAATGTGACATATGAAATCTTACATCTAAAAGTATTCAATAAGGGCCCTAATTCAACCCCTCCACCCCTCATTACGAGGGGATTTTTGTTGTTACAAGGGGTATGACTAATTCAATTGATAACTGTGTATTCATGAACCTTACCCCACTTTCCAAATGATGAAAATGTGTGTGTGGAATACCATAAACCTCTAGAATAGCACCAACAAAAAATTGGAATATCTAGCAAGCTCCTCTTTTATCATATTCATCCATGAATTTATGTAGCATTTAATATTCATGACCACACCCTCTTGACATGCCCCTATAGACATGCACCCTTCTGATTTATCCTTCGTCATCCTGGACCACGCCCCTCTTCTCCTGGACCACACCCCTCTTCTAACAAGACATCTTCATTACCTCGTTAAACTCAAATTGTTATTTGCCTATGTTATACCATCAGACCAAGTGGAGTCATGTAAGGAAGTATATGCAGAGTGTGTTTACGGTTTGGTTACCAACTCACAGTCGTAATTGCCACTGGGACAGTCCCCTATTAATAATTGATGCTCATGAATTTTTACCAAAACAAGATTAAGGTATGATGCCTGTCTCTGCTCTCTACTGCCGTGTATTAATGAAAACCTTCCTTCAACAAATTAGATGCAATCTTAACTGGATGAAGGTCTTTCCTTTTGTTTGTTCTATTTTTATGTTGTCTTTCCTTTCTGATTTTCTTTTGCGATCTTTTAATGTGATTACTGCCCTCATTATCATTCTGGAAAAGAAACCTGTCTACATGCATTTTTCTTTACATATCTATCCACCTTTAACTTAATAAAAGTACATCTCTCTCTCCCCCCCCCTCTCTCTCTCTCTCTCTCTATCTCTCTCTCTCTCTCTCTCTCTCTCTCTCTCTCTCTCTCTCTCTCTCTCTCTCTCTCTTGCTTGTACATTCTTGCAAGAGAGCACTTACAGTTAAATTTGTAAAAAGTACCCCAGAGTATTAAAATAAGATAAAACATTTGTTTTTATTCTTTACTTTGTTTTATTTGTATGAAGATAAAATCAGATCCAGAAGAAGTTGTAGTGGTGGAAGTTTATAGAACTCTGCCTATAAATCGTTGCCCATGACCTTCAAATCTAAAAGAGTCAAAATGAATATAAATAAGTCCCCTTCCCCCCCCCCCCCCCCCCCCAATACAAAAAAAAAATATATATAAATAATTATTTTTATTTAAACAAAAAAAAATCAATTTCGAAAAATAGTATATAATAGTGGTCTGTAATGCCTGGAATCACATAACAGCCAAATCTGGTTAGGCTTAAAATTAACCATCTAAAATGTAATCATATTTCTGTTCCTTCACAGCTCATAGTCATAGGCATGGGGATACTGATTCCACAGCTAGCACCCTCAAACCAAACGAGACGTCATCCCAACAGGTTTCCCAGGATGCAATGAATGACCTCACATCTGAATCGGAGCGCCCAGGCACTGCTATGAGCGTCGATGACCATAGAGGCAGTGAATCAACCAAGAAAAAGAAAAAAGTCAAAGGTGAGTTAAATGTGAGTGATGTACTTAATACTTCTTCATGGGAATCGAGCCAGGATCTTTTCCGCAAAATCCCCTCTTTTTTCATGCTTGAGTAGTTTGAGCATAGTTTTTCAATCTTCATTTTATACTTCTATTTTTTCACCTTTTAAAGAGGTATTCCTTAGGCATTTAGAGAAGATATATGTTTTTTCCAATTTCAAGCATTTTAATGCTACTTTCTCAGGATTTTAAAATGTTTTGTCCCACAATCGGTAAAAAATTACCTTGTTTGGTAATTGGTAACCGGTTTTGGAAATTAATATCAATTAACCAGTTCAAGAAACTCCTGAAGTCTCATCTGTTTTGCTGGGAAATAAGGATTTTAATATCCTGTATGTATTGTTTATTTCAAGTGATCTATGGCCCAAATACATGTTGTTGAAGTGCCTTGTAACAACAAGGAAAATACACTGTATTAAATGCCGTATGGATTGGATTAATTTGGTTCTATTCTTAACCACAATGTTGAGCTACTTAAAGGATTCCAACTCTGGACAGGCTTTTAAAGAAAGTCAGATCAAGGTCACCATAGCATGTTTGCAAGCCGCCCCCTTTGCCCACTATGGGATAGGGATCATAATAGATTTGAGAGTATCAGGAAGGTCCCAAAGTCTTAGAAAACCACACCCTAAGCACTTGATCTGTTCCCATTTCTTGTCTAATGGCTGGGCAAAACCTGGTAGGATTTATGTCCCTCTCAGGATAATCGTGAAGGTGTATTTAGATTTGAAACTTATCTTTCTCGTTTCTTCCTAAGAAGTCTTTGTATAGTGCACTCAGAAACCTGTATATAAGGATCACTTTAAGCAAAACAAGATAAGTGGTCTTACAGACAGATGGTTTTTATGTACAGGTTTCAATGAATTTGTTTTCTTCAAGGGAACAAAAATTGTGGTCTATGCTCATTTCTCCCTTAGAAGTCTTTTTATAGTCTTTGACCTGTATATAAAGATCACTTTAAGGGATCGAGACAAGAAAAGTGGTTTTTACAGACAGTTTGTCTTTCTGTACAGGTGGTCTCTGAAGCAGCTTTGACTGTATTATCTCACAACATCAATAGCAGTTTAAGGACAGGATTTTTTAAAGGCATCATATGTTGTTCTTCAAATTGGCAACAATAATATTTTTCTTTTAATGCTACATTGTTATAGTAAAATTTAATGTGTCTGAAAACATTATACATTGTACATGGGTAAAATTTGTGTAGAAAAGTTGAAAGATTGCCAATTTTGATCCAAAAACAATGATTTTGAACCTCATATTGTGTTGCTAATAATATAATGCTCATTTTCACTTTTCAAATTCCTGGCATCACATACAATATGGTTAAGTAACAGAACAGACTCACTGTGTGTGCAGAAATGTTTACCCTTTCTACTCGTGTGTCTGGTATAATTTTTAAGTGTCTGAATCAAAAGTTATTACGCCAAACCACAAAATGAGGACCTCGTAGAGGACTCGTCACAAACAGGATACAGTAGGTAGTGTGGCTGATTGAAAGGAGGTGGTCTGGCTCAGAGGGTAGAATGATGATGGGCTTTGGAATGGGATATCCTAGGTTCAAGACCCAACTCACAGCACTCATGCCCTTAGGTAGTGTGGCTGATTGAAAGGAGGTGGTCTGGCTCAGAGGGTAGAATGATTATGGGCTTTGAAATGGGATATCCTAGGTTCAAGACCCAACTCAGAGCACTCGTACCCTTAGCAATGACATGAATCCACACATAATAAGGATGATTACCGGTAGACTGAAAGATGTTGCTCTTCTGGAGGTTGATAACAAGCATTAGGCCAAATTACTTTGAATTTTAGTTTTCATGTCCCTGCCTTAAACTCGTTGAACCCTGAGTAGTGCATGGACAAAATCTTGGAAAAATATCAGGTAAAATGGAGCCCCCTTCCCGCTCCTTATTTTAAAATGATCATAATGAGGCACAAGGTATCATGTATAAGTACCTTAACTTTACTAGCTCCAAGGTAAATATACAATTAAACTCAAGTCTTTGATTACTATTTTTTTTTAAAATTTTGTATGCATCTTTTTAGGGAAATTCGTCCAGTCCAGATACATGCAGAGTCAAGCCAAACCTGCAGCATCAGAACCCAACATCAGCATGACCGGAGCCAGGCCTAACATGAGTGGAACCAGATCCAATATCAGTGGAACAGGGGCCAGGTTCAACACAAGTGGTGCTGGAGCCAGGTCCAATGCAAGTGGCACTGGAGCCCGACCAGCCAACGCTGGTACAACCGGTGTGAAATCGACAAGACCAGGGTCAAGCAGAGTCAGGTCTAGTAGTAGTCGAACCAACAATATCTCCGTCAAAAGGACAGACAGATCCAAGGTATTTTATCCTGTTGACTACTGAACTTTCTCATTTTCATTTATGCTTGACACAGGGACCAACCAGTTCCTGTGGGTATTGGGTTTATGATACATCTAGATTTTTATAGCACGCGATGGCTCAGTGCCAGTGGTAGAGCAGCGGTCTCGTAACCCGGAGGTCCTGGGTTGGAAACCAAGTTCTTTGGTAAGGCATTAATCCTCATTAACAAGTCCCTCGTAGAGGAATTAAAGCCATCAGTCTCGTGGTTGCTTACTTACAGCAGTCAGGTGAAACAATCATCACCACTTCATGTGAAATAGCGTCTCCAATCGTTATACAGATATTATGACCCCAGCCATCTGATTCAGTCATCACATACACAGTATGTACACCATCTCCACTCCCTGGGGAGCATACTATATATATTTTACTTGCTGTAGGGGTATACTGCAAGTACGAACACAATCTTTCCATTTCTCTCCTGGGTAAGGAGTTGCAAAGAAAGATGATCAGGTTCTCGTCAAATGTACTTTAAGTCCTTTAAAGATATTATCAGTTTAATATATAAAGCCAAATTTGAGGAAAACATGATAGTTTCAGCAAACATCTTAAAATTTCTTAGAGCTGATAACTCTGAAAATTTCACATGTGCATCTTTAGTAATACAGTCAAACCTGCTTTAGTGACCACCTGTTTACAAAGACCACGTTTTTTGTTTCCCTTGAAAATGGTTTCTCATTGAAAGATATCCTATAAGCACCTTTCTATAAAGACCACCTGCCTTTAAAGGCCACTTTTCTTGTCTCCCTTGAGTGCATGGTCTATATAGACAGGTTTCACTGTACCCTCTTTCCTTAACCTTCCTAGAGCACCAGTGAAAAATCAGTCCCAATGCGAGCTACAAGGTCCTTCGCCCCTGCACCGTCCACCACCACCACCGGTCCTGCCGTCGCCTCCCACCACCATAAGCCACACCCCTCCACCGATGGGGACAGTCAGTTCAGCACCCCAGTCACAGCCAAGAAGGGCAAGAGGTTTGCCTCCACACCTGCTGTTAACACCTCTATACTTCCTGGTGCCTCCCACATCAATGCTTCAGCTATTGGGGCAAGCACATCCATCCTTGGGGCCAATATGTCTGCCATTGCTCATGTTGGTGAGTATACTGTAGTATTTATTATATGTGGGACTATGGTAATACTAAAAGCTTGATTTCTTTGTTTTAGTACATTTAACATTGCATTATCATCTGCATATTGTTTGTTGGAAGGGGAAAAGACTTGTTAAAATACTATTGGGCTCCATGAATGAAACAAATTTTTGACAAAATTTTCCCCTCCGCTATTCTATAGTTGCAGACTAGTTTACAGTTAAAACACTGCATCCCTCAGATAGGACATTAAAAGGAGGTCCTATGTTATAGGAGAGTAACACCTAATCTATGCACTCAATGTCAAAGAGCACTGGGAAACACAAGTCGTCGCCGTTTTCACGAACCGGCACAGCCCAACGCGCAACGAAATAAGTACATTCTGAGAAAAACGCGTTTTACGTTTAGCCCGTTTTGAATTCGCCAGAAACATGCCTTATGTCAAATTTTATATCACAAAATACATATCAATGAAAGGAAAATATTCTGTATTTTCTATACATTCCATTTGTTAAGCATAATGACAATTACTATTAATATTACAAAGCTTTGGACTCTCGTGCCGGTTCGTGAAAATATTATTTTGCTGTTTACGTAGCAAAAATATTTTCACGAACCGGCACAAGCCACTGTGTCGTTTTTCCTATGTAACTTTACGCGCAAGACAAAAGCGCTCGCGCTGTCTTAGCGCGTATTTTATTTTCACGAACCGGCACAACCGCCTGTGTCGCGTCGTCTAGGTCTTGTAAGCGCAAAGATATTTTCACGAACCGGCACAGCCCATTGACTTATAACGGCGCGTGCCGGTTCGTGAAAATATGAATCGTGCTTTTTGGCTCGTGTGTCGTTTTTGTCATTTGTGTAACCATGGATATCTCAAAAACTAAAGCGTTTTGGATGCTGAAATTTGGTGAGATGAAAGATTGTTGATAACTTATGCTAAAAATGCAAAAAAAATAAAAACTACATTTTGAAGGGATTTCGGTGGCTTGTGCCGGTTCGTGAAAACGGCGACGAAGTGTTAGATACAGTAGGCTTACGGTTGCACCACGTGAGAGGGGGAGGATTGGGGAGTCCTGAAAAGGACTTTCTGTAATCTTTCTTTCTTGAGTGTGTGTAGTCCTGAAAAGGACTGTTGGTAATCTTTCTTGAGCTTATGTAATGGTGTAACAAGTGTAATAGTACACCTGCACACCCAATTGGTTAGACTAGCAGGGGTAATGCTGAATATTTATAGATGATGATGATATTCAATCTCCCCAGATTCTTCCAAATTGATGGGAGATAAGATGAGAGATTCCCATGACATGAGAGACAGGTCAAGACGAGAGAGAGGTAATTTGATTTCTCTTCTAACTTTCTAATCTCATTTATCGCAGTTCCTTTAAAGGGATTGGGTAATCTTTGCCGCAGATTCTAAACAAAATCCTGGATTTACCTCATGCTGCAATCGTAATAATAAACCTTTGGATCAGTTAGGAATCTCATGACTTTTATTACAAGTCGATCGCCCGACTGATTATCAAGATATTTATGATTGGAAATCGAAATTTAAAAAACCATTTCCTGACGGTTTTTATAACACTACAGTCTATTGGGGAAAGTGAGTATGGCAAAACCAGTCACTCAAAGATTTTTACTTTTTTGAGGCACTTCATGATCATTTTGAAGCACAATTTTTTTAGGGCTTTTATATTACACCATATCACAGACACTGATTACATGTAGGGCCATGCATCTCAGATTTAACATTGTTAAACGATACCTTTAAAGCCATTGGTCCCCTGGTTGCTTTAACTTACAAGCATACACATGCTTTCTTAGCAGTCAGGTAAAAGATGTTTCACTATATCTTTGTGGTCTTTCAGGTATGTCTGGAGACATGACGGGACCGTATTCTGGACTCTCAGTCTCACCAAACCACGACTCTGCGTACAGCTCTCTTGGACACAAGGTAAGTCATCTTCAAAGTGCCATTAATATTTCATCCATCTTATTGTCATTAGCCGATACTGTCATCGAAATATATATATAGAAATGCTATCTTTGATATACTTAACCAGGGAATCTAGCTACAACTATTTCATCTAATCTCAAAACAGTATATTAATAATTCTGTTTTAAGTACTGAACTGACTCCTGACCCACTTCTGTGGATGACCATATCTAGCAGGATGACATGTATATAGATAAAATCATATATTGTATTAAGTTTATTTTAGCTGAAAGCACTGCCGGGCATTCTGTACATGACTAGTCTATAGCCATAGAGGGAGTTGTATTGATAAGTCTTTAGTTTCTAGTTGAGTAATAGGCACACATATGTATTAGCTGAAGCAGGTAATCTTTTCTTGTTTCTGCTTTACATTTAATTGTTGAATTAAGTTTGACCAAAGTTCAGAGGTGGAGGGAGGAAGTGTCATCATATCGAGAGAGTCGGTAATCCCTCGTAAGAGGGAAAATGCTGACTTTAATAAATGATGATGATCGTGATGGTTATGATGATGATGGTAATGATGATGATGATGGTGATGATGATGGTGATGATGGTGATGATGATGATGATGATGATGATGGTGATGGTGATGATGATGGTGATGGTGATGGTGATGATGGTGATGATGATGGTGATGGTGATGGTGATGGTGATGATGATGATGATGATAATGATGATGGTAATGATGATGATGATGGTGATGATGATGATGCAGAGCTGCCAACTAGTACGGATTTCCCGTAATTGGTACGGAAATTAACGACCATTACGGAATGTTGTTTAAAATTACGGATTAAAAAAAAAAATGATTTTTTTTTTTTTTTTTTTTTTTTTTTTTTTTTTAAATATTCCCCCCCCCCCATTTTTCCTGGAAGACTGTGTTGTGATGATATGAAACTCATTATTTAACAACTTTGTGTGAGTAAAATCACCAAAAATTTCAGATAATCATGTTTCTGTGCAATGTTGGCGTGCCGTTTTTATTAGAGTCATAGCGCCGCATAGGAAATTACTGATTTATACCCAAAATTACTGATTTTGAGCCTTGTGATTACTGATTTTCTGTTCTGGAGGTTGGCAGCTCTGATGATGATGATGGTGATGATGGTGATGGTGATGATGATGATGATGATGATGGTGATGATGATGATGATGATGATGGTGGTGATGATGGTGATGGTGATGATGGTGATGGTGATGATGATGGTGATGGTGATGATGATGATGATGATGATGGTGATGATGATGATGGTGATGGTGATGGTGATGATGGTGATGATGGTGATGATGATGATGATGGTGGTGGTGGTGATGGTGATGATGGTGATGATGATGATGGTGATGATGATGGTGATGGTGATGATGATGATGATGATGATGATGATGATATTTTCCTTGTCTTTCAGCAGGTAAAGAAGTTGACTCAGTCAGACTTAGACGTGATGTATGCCAGATACATACAGGCTGTATACCTGGATTCAAAGGTAAAGTCATTCTCAATCTCTATCGAGGCTTATTCAGGTATGGGGCGGTAAAACTGCCTCAAAAAATCTGCCAGTTTTTTAATGTGTAAAGGAATGGTAACTGCGAGCAACAAAGTATTGGCGTGTATTCACTGAGCTCTGTGTTATAATATACAGAAATATGAAATGTATTACACTTTACCTCATCATTACATAAAAACACAGCGGTTTTGCCTTGTCATATCTGAGCGAGCCTACAGTTGATAATGATAACAAAATTACAAATGCACAATTAATTTTCATTTAAAGCCCCACTGTCCTACTTGTAGCTACTTGCTCCCTCTATATAGAAAACTTCCCCAAGCGGTGCCTGTTGGTCCCCCATGATCCTCTTTTTCTTATGTTAGTTAAGAGCTGAGTTAATATGAGATAGCCACCTGTCAGTGACCTCGCTGTGTGGTCTAATCCCCTCTGGCCCAGTAGTATTAACAGTCTTTAAAGATAATGATAAAGATAATGCATTCATAATTTTGGTCATATTTTTGTACATGTACTTTGATAAGTTTTGCAAATTAAAATAATGACACATTTTATAGTCAGAGAAGTCAGAGAAGTTTCAAAGGAGTTTAGAAGTGAAATAGAACAATAAATGCATGCATCCTGATCAAACCTGTAGTAAGTTATTAATTGCATATCATTGAGTTTAGTATCTTTTGCATTTTGTTATGATACTTTCCTTCATTTTTCAACAGATGAAAAAGATTGTTGCAGACAAAGAGAAAGAAACCAGGGTGAGATATTTGTTGAACTTAAAATCTTTGAACTCTTTTAATTTGTTTAATCAAATGATGATAGTAATCAACAGACATAAAATCTTGAAGAAAAAATTGGAATTGAAATCAACCAAATTTTTAAATTAAATGTTAAATATTATATCGTGTAATATTTCCTTATTCACCTCTTTTAAATTTACTGTGACTTATTTACATGTACATTTTATTCTTAAAAGTTCAAGTTCACTTCTATTAACACCCTGCATATGTTACTTTCTTTGTATACATCTACTATGTTATCATTCAATGGCATGTTGTGTGTGAATTTTTAAATGAATGATTTATTTTCCAATTAATTTATTGGAAATAGAATATCATTCATTAAAGGAACCTGGTAACATTGTTCAGATGAGAGAATACAGTGCTAAGAGAGTGACTTCAATGCCAGATGTACAATTAAAGATAATATGAAAGTTTGAGTGGAAACAGACCATTATTAATGATAAAAATTGGGAAAATTTGGTTTGACCGATTTCTTAATTCTCCTAACTATATTATTACAATTTAATTACATTTTAGGTGGATGCAAATCATCACAAAGCAATAAAATGGCTCTATATACCATTCAAAACATTTAAGTGTTGAAATATTTTAAAAAACCTGTTTTTTTCTTCTTATTTTCATTGAAAAACTGTTGGGAAAATTCAAAATTGGATGGGAGAATTTACTGTTAGAGATTGTTGCACAGAGACGTCTTCAAAGAAAACCATAAATATATTTGTGGTTTGAGAATGTTTTCAGGATTTGTTGCATGTCAAACGGTTAGTACAGTAGAAGGAATATAATAAGTAACATTTAATACAAATATTACGCTGTTTTCAAATAACTTACAACAATGTTACCGGGTCACTTTAATATTTTCTTTAATTTCAATTTATTTACAGAAGCAGATGTATGGCATGTGGCATTTGAATGAAGAAATGTACAGGAAGAAAGCTCAATTAGAACTGAAGTTAGCCAGACTTAAGCATGCTAACACACTAGATCAACATCTAGATATACAGGTAATAATGGTTATAATCATTATGAATTGTCTTGGGTGAGAGCAGTGATCTATTGTTTTATTCAACTTTCTTCTTTTTTTCTCCAAATGAGTGTGTTTGAGAGTTCTAATGCAAAATTCCTGAGATGAGGCATTTTATGTACAATTGCCTCTCTCAATCCATGTTTAGTAAGTGTGTACCTGGTATTTAAAGCCCCACTGTCCTACTTGTAGCTACTTGCTCCCTCTATATAGAAAACTTCCCCAATTGGTGCCTGTTGGTCCCCCATGATCCTCTTTTTCTTATGTTAGTTGAGAGCTGAGTTAATGAGATAGCCACCTGTCACATGACCACGCTGGCTCGCTTTAAAGACATTTTTGTTGTCATGCACACTGTGTTGTTACAGCGGCAGAAGCCGAAACCATGGTGATAATTTTGAGAGCATGTAGTAACGGTAGATAGGTATCATTGTGATATTTAAAGCCCCACTGCACTACTTATAGCTACTTGCGCCCTCTATATAGCAAACAATGCCTAAGTGGTACCCATTGGTCCCCTTTTTTTAATGTTGATTGAGAGCTGATATGATGATATAACCACCTGTCAGTGACCATGCAGGGAGGTCTAATCCCTCCTAGCCAAACTAATGCAGATGGCTTTGAAGATGTGCATGTATTTTCCACCATGTGAACACTTCATGCTTTCTCAACCTTCATGTTGTCTTCTCCTCCCCCCCCCCCCCCTAATATTTATATCACAAATCTCCTACCTTTTTTAGAGAGTAATTTAGGTAACTAACCTTGCAATATCTCTTTACAAAAGTAACTATTTTAGCTGATATTTTGTATAATGAAAGTGATGATTCACATCAAAGTTTGCAGATCATTGTAAAATAATGAAGGTGTATGATAAGGGATTGGGTATGTTAGGCTCAGATTCTGAAACAAAATCCTGGATTTAGCTCATGCTGCAATGATTATTATAAACCTTTACGTCAGTCAGGAACCCCATGACTTTTACAAGACGATCGCCTGTCTGATTATTAAGATACTTAGTTTGTATAACAATACAGTCTATTGGGGAAAATGAGTATGGTAAAACCGGTCACTCAAAGATTTTTACTTTTTTGAGGCATTTCATGATCAGTTTGAATTGTAATTTTCTTAGGGGTTCAATATTAGACCATATCACTGACAATAATAACACGTAGGACCATGCATCTCAGATTCAACATTGTTAAACGATGCCTTGAGTATAAAACTGGAACCAAAATTATTTTGTTTAATTGTAGTTATTGTATTGTTGATAGGAAACTGGTCTAGGCCCAGTCACTGCTAACCTGGCTCAGTTCAAGCAGGAACACAGCACCTTGGCCCACGCTCTGGACACCACACGACACCAGGTGGAAATGACGGATATCTTACTCCCGCAAGACAAAGATGCCTATCATGGTAAGCTACATGATGATTAAAGGTATATTACGAATCATGTGAAAGAATATGTTTTTATTAATACATGATGATACAGATTTTGCCAGGAAACCGCCTACTAATTGATATATTTGGTAAATTATTATATCTCTTTGGACTGGATAGATATAGGGTAGTCCCATATACATCTTTCTGTTTTTTGGTGAGAATTGTTATTATTATTTTTTTTAAGTTTACAGTTTAATGTGCACTGACAATTTTTTTTTTTTTTAAATTTAATAATAAGTTAAAAATCATGCGTCCGGTAAAAAAAATTACCGGACGCATGATTTTGCCATGCATCGGGTAAATCTGTAAAACAACAAAATTTTGTATTTTTGACAATTTTTGGGGCCCCATCTTATAAAACAGATGATGCACAGGTTTAATTCGTGGGTCGGTGGAATTGTGTGCATGCGGTACCATTGAATTTGGTCTAAAACCGTTCAAAGGTACCTTGTGTACACAATCCCTACCGACGCACTCAAACCTGTGCATCATTTGTATAATAACAGACTATCACAATTTGAGAGCTCACCCCAGATCAATGCTAGTTCAAAATGTCTCCTGTACTACCAGAAGACAAAGGTGCCGTACTTTGTAGTGTGTTGTCTTGATTGTGTTGATTTCATGAACGGAAGTTGACCTGTAGGTAGATGTTATGAATATCAAGTGGTTAAATGGCATTGGGAATAATTGCTTCTGTTAATAAACAGTTTTGTACCTCTTTTCTATTACCTCGTTTACACAGACAAGAACTATAATAGACCAATTGAAAAATCATCAAAGTTCATTTTGTTTGGAACTAATGCAGGCCAAACACGGAGATGATAGACCAATATAAAACTGACAGTAAAGTGACATCACCTGGAATGGCCCAGATTTTGTTTGTTATCATCTGTCTGTTTTAGGTTCATGATCTGACTCGGATAATAGATTTAAAGAGGTTTTAATGGATATGTTGAAGTTATTTTGGCATTTAAAAGTCTTTTTATTTTGTCTTCATCCTTGCAGATGCACTGGAGAGAGTGCTGAGCGAGAGTGAGCATCTGTTGGGTGAGATCTCCATGGCAACGCGAAACAAGCAACCCAGAGTGGAGGCCTTCTCATCAGCCATCAGTATGCTGGAGAATACAGTAGCTAGTGAGAGTGAAGAGCTAAGGAGGTAAGGCACAGATCTATACAATCAGGGTTCCCACAGTCATGGACATTTTTAGAAACTTTTTTATACCTCTGGAAGGGAATAAATAAGTCATGAAGAAAGGAAAATAATTAGAAGTCATGGAAAATTCATGAAAAAGTCATTATGAAGAAGCACAGGAACCCTTTACAATTCTAGTCTGAATAAAGGTTCCCACAGTCATGAAAATTTTAGAGAAAAAAAAAATCAGCTCTGGAAGGGATTACATAAGTCATGAAGAAAATAAATTTATCAGAAGTCATGGAAAAATCATAGAAAAGTCATGAAAAAGTCATTTTTAAGAAGTGCAGGAACCCTTTACAATTCTATTCTGGATAAAGGTATGAATCAACAAACTATCAGCTAACCACTTACAGGCAAGAATAGATGCACCTTATTCCAGATGTTACATCATTCGAATTGTAAACAGTGGTATAATCACTTAATAGCAGTAAAACCAATCATTTAGGATTAAACAAAATCTGTTGATAATTGATGAATTCTAAATAAGTTTCTTTCTTTCTTCTTGTCTTCAACCCAGATGCCAAGAGCTTTTGGCTGCCACATCATCGTTAGCAACACATGAAACATCGCTGAGGGTTCAGGATTTAGAGCAACGTTCTGAATGCTGAGTAGCTAAAGTTTGATGTGATCATGCGGAGAAAATTACGGACAATTTTGAGAGGCTTGTGTGATACAGTAAACCTACAGAAGGTGGAGGCGCTGTTAAACACTCCATTGGATGGCCATAGTTTGCAGAGTGCATAGGAGAGTGTCTGAACTGTAAGACTATTCAGACTGCATGGTCTACTGCACTATATAGGCCTTGCGCTACAGCTACTTCTATCGGACACAGCCAGAATAGAGTCTGACAAAATTAGGCTTGGCTCAAGGCTTTTGGTCACGTGACTCTCATTGACAAGTCAAGAAAGTGCACTACTCACCAAAGAATCGGAATGAGCAAACACAGACGTCTTTCCAGCAGTGTAAATGAGAGTCCAAAAATTTGATGATTTTTCAAAATGGTGTTTGTGCTGCTGTAAATTGGCCTATAGACGTGGTTTAAAGAGATTGGGTAACTTTGTCTCAGATTCTGAAAAAAAATCCTGGATTTAGCTCATGCTGCAATGATAATTATAAACCTGTAGGTCAGTCAGTCAGTCAGCTGATCACTTGTCTGATTATCAAGATATTTATGATTGGAAATCAAAATCAAATTTTGCTTTTTCCTGATCATTTTGAAGCACGATTTTCTTAGGGCTTCAATATTACACCATATCACAGACACTGATGACACGTAGGGCCGTGCATCTCAGATTTAACATTGCCTTTAAACACTTAAATGGAAATGTGAAGGTCATGGGTTTGATCCGGGCAGGACTCTTGAGTCATTGAGTGAGAAAATTGATCTACCCGGTACATTGTTTCTCCCAACCCAGTACCTATTAGGATGCAAAAGTCATTATGAATATCTGTAAAAGCGCCAGTGCACTACTTATAACTACTTGCGCCCTCTATATAGGAAACAATGTCTTATCGGTGCCTGTTGGTAGTACCCCATGGTCCCCTTTTTCTTACATTATTTGAGAACTGATTTGATGAGATAACCACCTGTCAGTGACCTTGCAGGGAGGTCTAATCCCTCCTGGCGAAACTAGTGCAGATAAGCTTTAAATGTGAAGGCCATGGGTTTGATCCGGGCAGGACTCTTTATGTCATGGAGTGAGAAATTTGATCTACATTCTTTCTCTCCACCCAGTAGGTAATAGGATGCAATGGATGATTTTTTTTTTCAGCATTGTGAGTATCTGTTAAAGGCTACCTGGCTGGCATGCACCATAGGAAGTGGAGAAGTTTCATGTATTATGTGTGGGCAAGCCTGAATCCCATGACCAGGGAGACAATATATCTGTAAAACGCTTTTTTATAGAGACACCGTAGATGTAATAAGTGCCGCAGCACCCCAGTTGAAAAACGCTAATAATGTATAATGATTATTATTTTTACAATTATGGAGAAACTGTTGGCCATGGAACAGAATACAAGATGTAGAGGGCGTAGTCAATGTGAACGCCTTTAAAATGTCTTCCATTGGATTTCGCTTTATCAAACACTCCTCAAACTTTCATTGATCTGTTTCTCTCATATTTCTTATGAAATTCAACTTGATACCAGAATTAATAACAATAATAATAATAATAATAGTGGGTTCTTGTATAGCGCTCATGTCTGTCAGACTTGACACTCCTGGCGCTTCCGATTATTACCCTGGCTTAAGCACGGCTGCCATTACGGCGCTCTAGCATTTCAAGGAATTAATTCCTGCCAGGTACCCATTTACATCACCTAGGTTGAGTGTGGCAAATGTAGATCAATGTCTTGACAAAGGACATTAGTGCCGTGGCGGGACTCAAACCACGGACCTTGTGATCCACAGTCCAGTGACATATCCACTCGACCTTTCATATGGCATATGTAGAGCATAAATATTGGTATGTGTCTATCAATACAATACTTAGCAATTCATAGTGCTAATTAAGAATCAGTTACACCATTATTTGGTTGTCAGACTTTTTATACAAAATTAAATTGAAACATGGCAAGATGGATGATGCAATTGCATTAAAGGTATTACAAAGTTTTGGGAAATTTTGAAAAATGGCAATTTGAATATATTTAAATGCCATTGTGGATGTTTTAAAAACACCAGAAATTGTATCCCCTAAAACACTTCTGCTTTCGAGAAAAATTGAATATAAAGATTTACCGGTGCTCCCAGTAAATTATGAAAATTTTTAAATAGCTCCTACGGCCGTACAATGGTAGCTGCGACCATGAAAATTTCAGAGTATGTAGTTGTGGTATATAATTTCCGAACGAGACAACGATCACTGAATATTGTAGGATCGTATATGCTTCCAATATGTTCATTTGAACCAAATTCATGACCCCATACCAAAACTTTGTATTACCTTTAAGATTCATCAGATATTGACACATTCAAGTTTTTCTGTTTGAAATATAGCATGTTATGAGCTTCCATATGTTGTAATTTATAAACAAAGACATGCATAATATATGTACACAATGTAAATGCTACAAATCTATAGCACTTTTATTTGATTCTTAGAAAATTGAATTCAAAATGAGTGGAAAGCTTGTTCCGTTGATACCTTTTGAAGCCCTATTCTCTGTGCACATAATCTGTAGATGTATATCTATTGTGTAAGCCTATAATATAAATGCCTTATTTGTACCTACATCTATATGTATATGATATATTAATGAATATTAATGAATATTAATGAATAGAACATATTGCTTATAAAAATGGTTGTGTCATAATTATTATTTTTTGTGTGTTGGAGGTATTCTGTATTCAAAATTCAGTTGCAACTACTTTTGAAAGATAAAAAAAGGGTGCATTATGATATACATTGATAAGCATCATGGATGGAATATCTTGTAACTGTGTTTGAAACTTTTGTTCTCAAATTCTTAATACAAAATCTTTACCAACAAAATATTCTGCTTTTAGCTGCAACCTTTATCAGCGATGTGACCCGACATGACCTTTGGACTGTATTAAACTGAAAGATTACAAATTAAAGGGGGTATTCATATAAAAGCATAAGATTTAAAGGTGGAAATAATGAAGAACGGAGATCAAAATTACATTTTCTTCAAATACCAGATAAAAGCTTTAAGACCTTACAGAGAGAGGGGGAATAGATGGAGGAGAGAGAGAGAGAGAGAGATAGGAGTTATAGAAAATAAAAAGAGGGCATAGTAAAAATAGGATGCTATATATTCAATAAGTGAAACAGAAAGAGTAAAGAAGATAGAGAGGGATATAAAGGAAGAAAGAGGATTTAGAATTTAGATTAAGAAATGGTGAAGATGATGATGACAATGGAGATGGTGGTGGTGATGATGCTGGTGGTGGTGGTAGTAATGATGATGATGAATTGAATTGAATTGATATCTTTATTTATACATGGTTTAAAAAGCCCAAACAGTTACAAGACTGATTTCCTTCGGGGCCGTCTGAAACAATGTAAATACATCAAATAAACATCATTTGTGACTTTTTTTTGTTTTTTAATGATTAGGGTAAACATATCGTTTTTTTTTTTAAATGATAGTGGTGATGGTAATGATGATGATGGTGGTGGTGATGGTGGTGGGGGTGGTGATGGTGGTGATGATGATAATGATCTGAGTACACGATAAAACAAGTGTACTCTAAGATCTGACCTGAGCACCTTCCTTGCAGGCTTGAGTATTGGAGGGTGGAGGAGGCGTAAATACTGATCAGTTTCATCATCCTCGTATTTTCTGAAAGACAAATACTGATATAAAAGGAATCCTAGTGTAAGGTTTTAATTTCACTGATCCAAGTGGTTACTTGTTTATTTTACACTGTACATTTAGCTTTCCACTCTGATATGCTTCAGCGCACTCCTGACCTACATTCATTCTCTCATGTCTGCTAGCTCTTGGCTTCTATTGTTCTGTCCCTATTCATTCATCCTCATGCACATTACCTGCTATAGCACCACACACACACACACACTCTTCCTATCTATTGCCTATTCAACCCAGCACAATATGCACATGGCACTCTATCTTTTACAAGCTTCTCTATTGGTTACCTACTTATTGTCCAATCTTGTGATTGGTGATTATTGTTTCATGGACTGCATGTCAGCCATCTTGGCTGCCATTTTGTGGTTGTAATAAAATCTAACAGTGCAGCTCAAGTCCTCAAACATGTAAGACCACTTTTGTTTTGTGTGGGTCCTTACACCTGGTGGCAGCGGTGGGATTTTACACCAGTAAAATCTCAATATATCATCTCGTGCTCATCCTAGGGATGTCAGCCTATGTATGGGACATAGCATTTCCCTAATGTTCTTTTTTAAATTTTTATGACAATTAAGATGAAGGTACCCGGGCAAGAATATTTGGGAAAATTGATTTGATAATCATACTTCACTACATGTGAAGGTATCCAAATATTAAATTCACAGGAGAATATTTCACTAGATGATTTGCTATAAATCGATATATTGCAAAAGATTTTCTTTCCGATTTTGCTTCGATTGTGGGCATTTTATATAAATGCAAAAATTAGCTTTGGTCTGCAATCTAGAAAGGAAATATTAATTGTAACAACTCCTGTGAATGACAAATTTTGGCCCGATTTTATCACGCATTATGCAAATATTTGGTCTTAGTTTATTATGAGTTTGATTTTACAGTAGTTTTCCAATTCTCTTAGCTCGAGTATTTTCTTTCTTTGTCCAAGGAAGCACGGTCTTTAGGCCCGCTACATGAATTTTCACATTTTTGCGCCTCCCTCAAAAGGAAAATGCAAGGGGTCCCCGCATTCTAGTTCTTAGATCAATATTGCGGATCGGATCGAGCGCGATCACAGAAAAAAAAAAGTCGAGCGCCAGCTAGCGACGAAAAATCAAAAGCTCATAAATAAATCTAAAAACAATCATGGCTGCTTTCCAGCGGCAATTTCAAGCTGTTAGGAGATCTTTCAGACGGAAAAAGCGTGATTACGACGTTGTGTTTGAATGTACACCCGTCGTCAAGCGGCAGAAGATTGGCAATTTCAGACCTGAAATATCAGAAGAGGTAATCTTGTGGCATTTTCTTATTTACTTTAGATCAATATCGTGTCTTTGTTTGAAATCGGATAAGTGCAGTGTTTGAAGTGCAAATGCAAGTGGTGATTGAATTTGCATTTGCCGTTACACGTCGATGCAGATGACGGTGCAGTGGCAGTGCTACCGGGTATTTAGGCAAAGTCTTGTGGGTTGGGCATCAATCAATCAGGGCCGGGCATGCATGTTGGGTGTGGTGTGCGTGTGCTACTGCTGTATTCCTCTAAATTCATTACTTTAAAGATAAAGACCAGTTATGGTCATGCGATTGCATGGTGAAAGAAACGTTGTGGAATCGATCAGAAAAGGTTGATCATCTAGAATAGTCTAGACCTTTTTCTAGAGTAAAGGAGCCGGTTTTTGGCCACTTAAGACAAAATCCTATTTTTTGGACCCTTTACTTCCTATTTAATTATCATTTTTTGTTCAAATCATGAAGCAAATATTATTATTATTTAAACAAAACAAGAATCCCAGAAAAAAATCATGAATTGCCATGACAATATTCATTTCAATTTTCACTGTTTCGGAGTCAGTTTTCGGCATAGCGTACCAGTTTTCGGCCGCATGTACAAAGTCAATAGGAAGCGTGCGCACGCACCGTGCGTTTCCGCGCTGATCTATAGCACTAGCGGGCAGAGCAGATATCCCACGCCGGAGCTCCCCGGAGCTCGCCAGGCCAAAAACTAGTACTGCGGTGATCGGATATTGGAATCTGAATTAGACAGAGATATCGTGTGTGCGTTGCGGTGAGCGGCTGCATTGATTTAATACATGCGATGAGATACTTTTGAGCTTGCGACTAGCACAAAATCAGGCTCTAAATCTGAAAAATACTTAAAATAAAGCTCATTTTATGGTACCCATATTTCTTACAAACACGCGTAAGATACTCGATTTTTCAGATTCGGGTAGCGGGACCGCCGATTACATCGCTAAAATGTGATATTTTAGGATATATTTTTCATTGCAAATGTGGTTCTTCAGTGACACTGGCATGGTATGGTATGTGTGGGATATGCATTATGCTATATGCGATGTATTTTAGAGGGATCATTTTACCTTGCATCCAACCAATCGGCCGAAAACTGGAGCTGGCCGATTACCGGCTCCTTTACTCTAACTTATTATTATTATTATTATTTATTCGGCAAAGGAAAACATTACATATCAGTGTACACAATACAAAATAAGACATAATTATCAACCATTGGAACGCCAGGGACAGAAAAAGTTAACTGAATTACTGTGGCATAAAGCCTCCTGTCCCAATTCCAATGGATGATTTACATAAAACAGAAATAAGAAGTTTAGCCTTGGGTTACCTTCAAAGTTGAAAAGTAATTAGGGCCTATTAAACAATTATAAGTGATGTAATTAAATGCAAGATGTGGTATCATTATTTCAGATACATTATATAATATTAATCAATTACAAACAAATGTATAGGCTAATTAACATTTGACACATTGAATAAGTGTAGGAGATGTTGCTGTATAGGGCAACATATTAAAATATAAAATAGCATATTAAATAGCATATTATAACCGTATCTCCCCTGACAGCAAGGAATAGAAGATATTATATACCTCACTTAAGAAATCCAGCCATCTGATTGGTCGAATTGCATTCATAAACTTCAACTGTTCCTGTAAAATTCTCGGTAACCATGCTTAAAACATTTCAATATTTTTAATAACCATGGTTATTAAAAATAGTTGGTCAGCCTCCATGGTTACCCCATAGGTTTACATGTTAAAAAATGGTTTGAGCGATGGAGGATGCCGTATGTGTGCGAAGGATTGGTCGGTAATTTCAATACAATTGAATCTCGATCGATCTTACCGACAATTTTATCTTGCATTGTTGACATGAAGATGAAAATAAACTTCCAAAAACAAAAAAACAACATCTGCCGATAGATCTTGATCTAAGTTCGTGCCAATATGCATTGCAAAAGTAAAAGAAGAGTCCGTATATGGAGCTTTTGCGAAGCATTCATCACACGCGAAGCCGGTTTCAATCCATTTTAATGTATATATTGGAGAAAACTGCCAAGCATGTTAACCGCGGGCCATAGCCGAGTGGTCTAAGCGTTGGTTTTCGGTACACCTCTTGTTGTACGCAAGAGTTCGAATCCCGTCTTCGACAAAAATGATAAATATTTATCTATTTTTTTTCGGCATATAAAAGTATTAATGACTGCTTTAATATTCGAGAAATAGTTGTTTTCATACGCTCTCGGGAAGGTTACAATTGGGCTATTCCCCTCGGCAAGCCTCGGGGAATAGCACAATTCTAACCTTCCCTTGAGCGTAATAAAACAACTATTTCTCTCAAAGCAGTCATTAATACTATACTATAGAAAATGAAAGGAAACTAAAAGAGACAAAGGGGGAGAGAGAGAGAGAGAGAGAGAGCAAAGAGAGAGGGAAAAGTAAAGCAAACAGAGAGGAGAGAAGTACATACATGTACATGTATTTATCAGTGATACATTTTCTTGAAATCAAAATTACAGTGTATATTTAGGCCTGTACCATAACAGGATTCGACATGACCACACAATCCCAATATATATCCCATTCAAGGTTACAAATATTCATAACACTGACCTATACCAAAAGATAAAATTCCAATGAAATATATATGACCCATTAAAGATACAGGTTACAAATATCTATGATACTGACCTATACCCATGATACCGGAAGAACAGTTCCATAACAAAAGAACATCGTTATTTTGCAATTATAAATACGTGCGTGTTAACAATATAATAAGTGGGGGAAATATTAAGGAGGAAAAGAAGCAAGAAGAGGCGGAAGCAGTAGAATTTAGTATTCAGTTTAATATATTATATTATATTATAAGTATTGGTGTGTACTGTTCTGGAATCATCAAAATGATAAGAAATTTGGCCCAGTCTTCGTAAAGTTACAAGCACTGCACACGTGCGCAACACATGCGTTTATCTCTCACACACCAATAGATAAACTAATTTACCAAATATATCAATTAGTAGGCGGTTTCCCGGCAACATTTTTATCATCATGTACATGTGTTAGTCAAAACATACTCTTTCACATGATTATAGGAGCTTCCATTTCATTTTTTGAAATTGGGGCATTTCCAATACTGGTCTTTACTTTTAATAAGAGTTTACACTTTAATCTACCCCCGATGAAATACACTGTACCGTAGATCTAGGCCTAGATTCTAGATCTAACTTGGACGAGTAGATCTATGATCTACATGCACTTGTCGACATGATGCATGAGAATGTGTAAATGTTCCAAATATTTTTGAGCAAGAAATTATGTTTTTGAAGAACAGTGATGATTGGAATCGTAATCTAATCTAGTGAAATCTAATGAAATCTATAAAATAAATGAATTTGAATTTGACTTTATGTCTTGCTAATCATGCTCATTGTGTTGATCGTGTTGTGTTTAGACCTCTATGTCATGTGTGTGACACCGTCAGTGTAATTTGTCATTCATTTGTTGTTTCAAATTGAGATGTTTCTTATAAAATGTTTTTGACATGTACATGTATGTGTGGCAGTTCGGGCATGTCAGATCAGGGGTGGTATCAGAGCATGATTTTATCACTATTTTTTTTTTTTTTTTTTTTTTTTTGGGGGGGGGGGGGGGATTAGTATTCTGAGACCACTTTTTATCTTAGATTTTATCTTTCATTTTATCTCAATCTCTTAGTACTTCTTGTGTACCCATAACAGTGATTTGCAGCTTAGGCGCAGTTTTAATACTGACCCCTAATATCATTTTATTTGAAAGTTAAGATAAGACTTAAAATAGAGTAGGGACTACGTACTTTATCTCTCAGATGGCAGTATCGGATAAGGGCAATATTTAATAGTCATGTGATCAAATGAACAAAATTAAGCCTGACTATATTTCTCCAACTGTCCAAGGATTATCAAGTTCATTAAAAAAAATATCCCAGCAATTCCACGTTTCGAATTTTGAAAATTTTGAAATAATGCATGTACATGTCCCTGAGGGACTGGCAGAGAGGGGTTTTACTTGCTGAACACGATGACAGTAAAATCTAACACACACCATTCCTTAGTTTTGCACATGGGCATATCCACACACAACCAATTCATCATATAACTATCCTGAAATTGTATAGTTATACAATGAAATTGTGTGTGTACGCTTACTAACGATACGTCATATAATGAAATGCAGGCATCGTTTCGAAATAGAACTCAATAAGTAATCACGGAATGTGTTGTGTGTGGACTATAATTAATCAAATTGTACAAATATATTCACATCAATCATATACATGCAGGCCTTCATGTACCAAGTTTTGGTTAATAACAAGAGTCGTCATTACCTCAACCTCATTTTGAAACAGGAAACACAATTAAGAACGAATGTGGCCCATGTGCTTTGGATAACTTCTTTTGTTTGTGGTTAGTTGTTGTTTCCAAGCAAAAGTACCTGCCATTGTGTTTGTAATTTGACACTCCCACAAGTACTCACACCAGTCCATTGGAGAGTCAGGAGACTTCAAAGGATTTGGGTTCAGGTGGGATTAACCTTAATCCCCCCTCTTTCTAAGCTACTATGAGGTCACTCCATTAGGACCCTCACCTTTGATTGAAGGGTGAAACAGATGGTTTAGTCATTGGTAGCAGATTTCATTCATTGATGCCCAGACCAGCCCAGACACAGGATGTTCTCAATCGGTCCCTGATCGTGCTCAGTTGCTTGCTCGCTCAGTTGCTCGCAAAGTCTCCTTGCACATACACATACCTTCACGTGTTGCTCCTCCACAGCTCCACTGTTTCTTTGTTTTTGTTCGTTCCCTGTGACTCCTGTATATTTGTACACTTGTAAGATGAGACAATAGCTAGGGTGCGAAAACAAGATTTTGGGGAGAGAATGAGAGATTCTCATACTTTTGTTCTGGTTTGGAGTTCACTGTTTCACTCGGGCGGTTCATCATTGAGGGAATAACAACACCATACAGTGGAGTTTGATCATTTAGTACATACACACAGTAAGTAACTGCTTACTATTACCATTACAATCCCACATTGATTTAACCCCTTCATTTTTATTTCTACCAGTACCATGTGATATTGTTAACATGTTGACAATTTTGAAAGAACCTTGAGGATTCACTGAAATGTTCTTTCCAAAAACCAAATTAAAATGCTGCAAGTTTTAATTTGATGTGGTCTAAACGGGCCATCTTCTGATGATTTTTTCAGGACAATTTTGAGTCGATTTCTCTTGAAATACATTGTTATTAGATCAACATTACTTTCATTCTATTTTCAGTTCTCAACCCTTCATCATGATGCATGATGCAATGTGTAACTTCACAGGCTACAATAAGTTTAGCCTACGGGTGTAACTACTCAGGCTATAGTACCGGTATGCACAATCAACTATTGTATTATTCTGAAGAGATACATGTACATGTAGCCCTAGATCAAATATTAGGCTTGCATGCTTGGGGATCCTCTAGAAGTGTACTTCTGATTTTTAAGAAGCTTACTGTTTGACCACTCAAAATGAAGAGTCCTTTCGATTATTAGGAGGATGGCATCATTTGACAAAATAACCCTCGGGCTCATTAAGTAAGTTCTTCAGCATCAGTGTGTGGAAGTAAGAGCTAAGAGGTAATCCTGTTGAAAACTTCCAGTCGTTCTATTGCATCGAGTGGTACTTGTTCTGAACCAAACTTATTGTGAATGCATGGTGGGTGGGTGCAAATGTATTACAGGAAAAAAATGGTATTGGGAAGACCAGTGTTTGTCCAGTCTATTTTAAAAAGAATTGAGTGATGGTGTTGAGACAACAGTTGAAGGAAGACTATTCCAGGACTCACCCACTCATATCAGACCTAAGACCTTTTTTGTGGTGGGGTGTGGTGTAGAAATGTTGAGCAATGCCTTTTTTATGATCAAAGAAAGGACCAACTTCTATTCCAGATTCATTGGTTCTAAAATCTAAATCATTCAGAACAGCAGGGTTTTGTTTAATTTTCTTTAGAATGGAACTTGGAAGGAATTGTATTGAATAGTGGCAAGTGAGTCAAGTGACAATAAATGCATTTGAAAGAACACGCTAGAATTTAGAAATAGCAAGATAATGACAACATTAATCTCTAACTTTTTTTTTGCCAGTGCATCCAGTCCAAATAGGGCAATAATAGTGAGTTTGGATTACTGAGTCAGAAAACCTTCATGGAGGGTAATCATTGGTCATTTATAGAACTGAAGTATATTTACAACTTTAACTGCCCAATCTCATTTTAATACCCTACCTGGTGACCATGTACGTGTACATCATTGCTTAGCAGTATTTTGTATACATGCTGCTGACTCTGGGGGTAATTTGTAGCTTCCTTTCTTTACTGACAGCTCGTTGATACGACTGACTGACTGACTCACCCACGGTCCCAGACTGTTGTTTGACAAACCTGATAATATCTTAATCCGTCAATACCAATAGGTAGAAATTGATTAATTCTGTCAACAGAACGTGATTACCGGTGTGGTATTTGATCAAGGAAACAGACAATGGTGTGAAATGGGTAAATGTAATGGACCGATGATTATACAACGTAATCAACTCTTTTGAATAACAACGATATTCATTAATTATTTTGAAGGAGAAGGAGGAAGTGATGGAGCATGCAAAGTGTAGGCGATTTGTAGGCGACTTGTTTTAGAACAGAGAGGAAATATAATAAGAAATGAGAGATGGAGAATGAGGAAGGCTCATGGAGAAATGGAATGAGAGAGAGAGAGAGGGGGTGGTAGGGGGAGGGAGGGTGAGGACTGGAGAGTAGCGAGTGAGAGAGGAGGGGGGACAGAGGGAGAGAGAAAGAAAGAAAGGGGGAGGAGATGGAATTGGTAGGCTTACAGAGAAAGTGTAAGAGAAAGATAGAAAAAAGTGCAGAGAGTCAGAGATAGAGAAATGAAAAGGAGAGGAAAGTTGGAAGATGTTAGTTGGACACAGAGGTGAGCAACAGAGAGGGAAAAAGTGAGAGATAGAGAACGAGGCAGGATCACAGAGAAATAGAATGAGAGAGAAAGGGAATGTGAGAGATAGGGAGTGAGTGAGAGAGAAGAGGGGGAGAGAGAGAGAGAGAGAAGATGAGAGGAAGGGGAGGAGGTGGTAATTGGTAGGCTTACAGAGAAAGTATATTAAGAGAAAAATAGAAAAAAAGTGCAGAGATTCAGAGACAGAGAAATGAAAGGGAGAGGAAGGTTGGAAGATGTTAGTACATGTAGGAGGGAGAGAGAGAGAGAGAGGTGAGCAAGTACAGTACAAAGTTCAATTTTACTAATGTACATGTATTATAATTCACAGGAAAGCTTTTGCATACAACTGTCTCAAGCTAGTGCTGCTGGTCAATGACCCTTGCCTGAGGAGCTGCCGTTGTAATCTACTCAGCAAGGGTTAAATACAAGTCATGTGTTACATGTAATTGTGCTTCATTTTCACTTTGTGTACCAATAAATATGTAAGCAACTGTGAAAAAGGAAGGAAAGCCTCGTAATGAATAATTTTCCATCTGGTGAAATGAACATCAGATATTGCATACGTAGACAATGTCCTCCAATACTTTTTTTCTATTTCCTTCTCAATGTTCATCTTCCCTCTATGATCTCCCTTCCTGTTGTACTTTTGTCATTGCGCGTAGTGAACATTTGTTGCCTAAATATTTGTACAGTTAACAACTAAATTATTCATACCCCTTGTAAATTTGATTTGATTTGTTTTTATTTTTTAATGTGTAACCAAAAAATGACGGGTGGACTTGGTTGCATTATGACCTTTAGTGAGTACCTTTAGATGTAAGCTTAGAATTGTATGTGTCACATTCTAAAGAAAAGTAAATCCAGACAAATCAACTGTTAACATACAACTGTCAGCTGTACTTAAAAAATTACTAAAAGTTGGTAATGGTATACACAGAGCTGCCAACTAGTACGGATTTTCCGTAATTGGTACGGAAATTAACGACCATTACGGAATGTTGTCTCAAATTACGGATTTAAAAAAAAAAATAAAAAAAAAGATTTTTTTTTTTTTTTTTTTTTTTTTTTTTTTTAATGAATTAAATATGATTTATCGTAGCGAGTGCTGTGAATAGGAGCCATTTTTCATGATAAACTGTGTTGTGATGACCTGAAATTCAATACTTAACATCTTTGTGTGAGTAAAATCACCAAAAATTTCAGATAATCATGCGTCCGCGCAGTGTTGGCGTGTCGTTTTTTTAGATTCATAGCGCCGCATAAGAAATTACTGATTTATACCCCAAATTACTGATTTTGAGCCTTGTGATTACTGATTTTCTGTTCTGGAGGTTGGCAGCTCTGTATACAGGGCGTATCATAATAAAGGATATTGAAGTTTAATGACGATTTATATGAAAACTACTGATTTCATAATCAAGCATTTTATGTCTGTTGTAAAGGACAGAATGTCCTCTTTTTAATGACACCCCGATCATACTACTACTGTCACAGTTGACTGAATAACAAAGCATTGCTGTCCACCATGTGAAAGGTGCACTGTGACAAGTTAGCATTCACAGATAAATTATAAAGATTAGTGCTTGTGTCAGCCCAGACATATTGAAATGCTGAACAATGAGTGGATTATGTGTCTAAGAAGGAAATGTTATCAAACTTGGCACAGTGCACCTTTCACATGGTGGACAGCAATGCTTTGTTATTCAGTCAACTGTGACAGTAGTAGTATGATCGGGGTGTCATTAAAAAGAGGACATTCTGTCCTTTACAACAGACATAAAATGCTTGATTATGAAATCAGTAGTTTTCATATAAATCGTCATTAAACTTCAATATCCTTTATTATGATACGCCCTGTATAGTGCTGTAATGTACTACATGTACATGTATGTTGGTTCATTAAAACCTGTCTATAAAGGCCTACAGTACAGTACATGTACCAGTACATGTTTACAAAATAAATGTATGTGGTCTTTCTAGGTTTTTATAGTCTGCAACCATGTAAGGAAGCTTGAAAAGAGATAGTATCTACATGTACACTGTATCTACAGGGACAGATGGTCTTGATATATCTAGAGGTGATCTTTACATCACTCAGCTTCGGCTGTAGATGTGCATACAATTTGTACTTTTTTATATCTTTTCTTTTCCTTTTTGTTCCATGGAACTTAATTGTCATTTACTTTGTTAACTAATGTGCCTTGCTTTCAGTTTCATACATCTGAGCCCTGTCTTTCAAAGAGTTGATATCAATCGCAACTACATGTAAGAGATAGGAGACGGCAAACTTGCAATTGATTTGAGGACTTGCGATTGATTTGGATCAATCATTACTCTTTGTAATAGTGTTACTATCCTGCTCTAAAATTCATCCCTACCTCAGGCTTGGGCATTTCCTGCCTGGTGCATAGTCAGAAATGGTCAGATTGTAATCACACTTGTTCACAGGTTCTTTGTTCTTTGAAAGAGTAGAAAGTTGTAGAATTTTTTCCTTTTCACCACTATGGGGCGAGGTCAAAAGTCTTAACCTTTTGCTTCCTGAAATGATTTTCATTTCCCGCTCCTGTTACCAATCTATAAGGGGCTTTAGAGAAATTAGAGGTGCCAAAGCCATGTAGGTCTCATTTTGAAAGTCTGTTTATGGTTACACCCTAAAACTATATATGAAATGTACTGGAAAAGAACTGTAAAATAGAATATAAGTAAAGAGAGAGGAAAGAGGACAAAGGAGAGAGAGAGAGAGAGAGAGAGAGAGAGAGAGAGAGCGAGAGGGAGGGGAGGGCAAAGGAAGAGGGAGATAGAAAGAGAGAGAGAGAGAGAGAAGAGGTGGGGTGCAAGGGTTAAAGATGGTAATGACACACACAGCGAGATTATACATGTGTGCGCATGTATTACTATGTAACATGTAAAATACATTACAATAATGCCCTTTCTTTTTTGTTGCAGTCCAAAGTTGTGGTCTTCCACGAAGTCATTTGTGGTTGGGATTGCTTGCAAGATC